GCCCCCTCTGTCCATCTACTCCTCGGGCCTCCAGAGGCTCGCACAGCTCCTCCTGCAACCCGACCCCATCAAGCGCATCCACATCCAGGAGGCCAAGCGGATACTACAGAGCCTGCTCTGGGGCCCCCGGAAAGACCTGATGGAGCAGCAGTGGGAGCGGCACAGACGAGGCGGGGGCTTTGTTGACGGTTCCCGAAACGAAGGCCTGCTCAACTGGCTGGACGTGAAACGGGCCCTGCTGATGATGAAGTTCGCCGAGCGCTCGCTGGAGCCAGAGAGGAACGCGGAGCTGGAGGACTGGCTGTGCTGTCAGTACTTTTCCACGGCTCACCCGCTGTCTCTCTGCCACACGGCCGAACTGCTCTACTCCCTAAAGTGACGGCTCGCGCTTGCGAGGCGCCGCCTCAAAATCTCTTGTGAACTTGTAAACGTGCGAATGAGAGTCGAAGATAATGTCCAGACACTACGCACTGAACTGTGAACCTGATAATGTTACTTCTGCGTGCATGAGAGCCATAAATCAAACCATCTACACACTCTGTGCTGGAGTTTCTTCACCAATGGCAGCCCCCATGAAGACAGGATCAGAGGACCCTGAAGAAGTAGAGATGCACCAATCAAAATTTGGGGGCTAATTTACAAAATCAGTTTTTAAAAAAATGGCTTGGACCTGTTGATGGGGATTTCTCTAAAGACCAGAAAATAGGAAATCAGTATTCTGCCATGAGTGTTTAATCCTGTATAATGGGAGTAAGGACTTTGTGCGTGTGCGTGTGCGTGTGTGTGTGTGTGTGTGTGTGTGTGTGTGTGTGTGTGTGTGAGGGACAAATTGCTGCAGGTTTACTGTCATCCGAATAAAGGGTTACATAGTTAACATTTTCTACCAGCATTAGCATCATATATTGGTGATGCTACTAATCCAATATTAGCATCACCAATATTGGTGATGCTAATATTGGCTGGACGTTTTACGTCCAGCCAATATTGGTTATTCTGTATAAATTCTGTATAAATAACCAATGGTTATTTATACAGAATCTAGCTCCTGATGTTAACTCTGAGGTTGCCAAAGTTTCCAAATGCAGCATTTTCCGCAACAGGCAGCAGTTAAAAGCTTGAAAGGATAAACCACTGCAACTTTGTTGTAACTCAATTAGCGTTCCCGCTATCTCCTCTCTTGCAGCACTAGATGAAACCACATTGTAGAAAGTTTTAACGTTCTTCACATCTTTGTTTCCCCTGATTATAGTTATCACGCTGATACAAAGGATGGCCAACTGTGAGACGACTTCCACCTGTAACGACTTCCTCGGCAAATAGTGTTGTTAGCATATCCTGGTAGCTTCTGTTGTGGCGGATTCACTGATCTGGCTGGTCATTGGTCAAAGCCGACCAAGCTTTCAGCCAACTTTCTAGGTGCGTTGCTACAAAAAAGAGTGATTGACAAAGTACCATTACCAAAGTTTCTTATTTAACATTCTGTGTATTTAATAAGTAGATGTGGAGGCAGTTTATGCACTGTGGAAGCTTATAACCGTAGTTGTCTAAACATACAGCTCATTTTTCTCCATTTACATCTAGTTTCTTCTCAAAATAAGGTGTTGATTGTCGATTTGAACCTGTTGTACCTTCTCCTCCACACTTTAAGCCGCAGGCACATAGTGCTGTACTGTGAAAGCAACTGGATACTGGTTTTACTGGCCAAAACGATCAAACACACCTGCTTCTGTATTGACTGACAAAGTTTTCCCAAGCCCTACGGACTTCCACCACATATTTAAATGTTCTGACATTTGTTGAGGTGCCTTTTGTTTTTTGTACATGTTCCAGTGATTCGAACCAAGTGTAAATATGTTTCATTTGTCCTTTGTGAAACTGGCCTTTCACAGAATGTTCCGGTAACAATTTTGTACAGTTATTTGTAAATGATTTTCAAAAGCAAACGTGAGCCCAAGCAGGTCTTAAAAAGCCATGAATATGAGCAGCAGGTGTTATTTATGACGTATTAATTTTTCCTACGCAAGTCACTGGAAGTTTTTCTGAGTTCACTGTCTTCTTTTTTTATATGTATACATTTCCTTTTGTGACTATTGTTGGGTGTAGAAAAAGGCTCAAATGATCTTTTTTCTGCTTTTTTTTTATCCCCAATAAAAATGTTCAAATGAACTGTTTGGTAACAGCCTGCATGCAGGTGTTTGTCCACGACTAATTTAGATTTCTAACAAGAACAAACATGCTCTGAACTAATGCATAATTGATTTGATTTTCTTTTGTGCGTGTGTGTCTCTCCTATTTGCATCGCTCAATAAACTGTGCATATATTTTCCCACAGTTATATTCTGTGTTTTGACTTTTTTTTTGTATGTCTCCAAGTTGATAGATATTTTTAAAAAACGGGCATTGGTGTAGGATTGTCTGTGGTGCAGCCCCACCTGGTGGTGCTGAAGATTATTGCACCTGAAGAGTATTCTCATACAAACCGTGGCAAAGATTTTTTTTTTTTTTTTACAAACAAATCCCAGCGAAATGATAGGTGTAGTACTTTAACAAAGTAGTTTAAAATACAAGCTGAATTTCCATTTATTTATTCTGTTTATGCACAATAAAGTGTAAGCAGAGCATCTCGGTTAGCTGCTACTAGTTTAACAAGTAGCAAGAATAGATGCTTAAAACAATGTGTTTATATTCAATTTAATATCTTTATATTGCATTCATTTTGATAATTTAAACAGGCATGTTTTTGTATATTGTTGCCAATGCTGTTGCTTTAATTTTGGCCAACATAATAAACACATTTCCAACAATGAGCTATATTCTGTCAGTGTTGGTAGAAAGTGACTGTGAGAAGCTAATGCAGCTCAGTTATTATATAAATATGTACATAGCTTTTTTTTTTTTGTTTTATCACAAATTAGAGTTTATAAAGTGAACATTTTAGTTCAGGTGTGTGTTTTACACAGACACGCATAAAAAAAAAAAACTATGTAAAAGTTGTATATTAATGACTAAACTGGAGATATGTTCTCCTTGAATTAATAAAAAGATGCTAAAATTTCTGAATAAAAGTTTTAAGGTGAAACAAAATAAGTAGCAGCATTTTCACAGTGGAAATGTTTGCTGTTGTGAAAGACGCAGGTGCATCACCCATTAACCCTTCAACCTTCAACAGGTTGGTCGTGTTGAGGAATCTCAATTGTGGTTTGGAGCCTCAGGCCAAAGCAGAGCTCAGCCCTGTCCCCTTATTCCCTCACCCACCCACCAGTCTCCTCCGTGCTGCCACCGACTCCCCCTCACACCGGCCCACCCCACAGCTTTCTGCTTCACATCACTCCTTCAAACCACCGGCTGCTCCTCTGTCATAGGTGGAACCATGTTGCTAGGGCGTTTTGGCCAATGGAGTGGCATTTCCCAGAACACTGCCGGTCTCTGTCTCCCTCACACACACACACACTCTCACCAAGTAAATGAGTCTGTCAAGTATCCAACTAACCCACCAGAACCCCCACCCACCCACCTTTTGAAAGTTGTGCACCCTATTACTCCTGGCACAAAACTTACAGCACTACAAAAAAAAAAAAATGCCAATCAAACTTGGAGGTGATGTCCTGGGATGCATTTGAACTTAAGGTCATGCAGCATCCAAAACATCAACAAATCCTGTATAAATATTAATAAGACCAGTTTTCACAAACATTAATGCTTGACGCCTTTCATACAAAGGATGGCACAGTCAGTCATGCTTAGGGAGCAGCCATTACCTTTTCCACATCATAGAGCCAGATTGATTTGCGTCACTTCCCCTCACCTCCTTTAAGGAAATCATTTCAAAACTGCATTTTATAACTTTTTAAGCTGAAATATTTTTGGGCAACAAAACAAGCAAAAATAGAATTAGCTTGTAAAGGGCCAAATACTTATTCACAGCTAATCTCAACATTCCTACTCCAGTTAATTTTTTTTAGGGCCGTTTCCTTAGCTTATATGAAAGAGCCTGCAAGTTATGGCTAAATATTTAAACAGAAAACGTGAACGTTTTTTATATGGCAATAAAAAGATGTCATTCTTTAATTCCTACACTTCAGTCATAGATGTGATGAGATTTTTTTTTCCCCAATTGTCACTCTGATACAGACGTCAGACTGGCTCCCATGCTTGGATGACACACAGCTACAGCTTCCTCTGGATGTTTCCTCTTCCTTAAAGGAATTGTAGCTTTTCCTGTTTCTGCCTACAAGCCAACTGCAGCAGAATTACACATCAGTCAAAACATGGCCGCCTCTACCTCCAGCAGCCTTTACATCAAATACTTGCATTTCAATTACAGTTTTGCAATGGGAACAGCCTTTAATTGAATGAGAAAAAAAATCTGCCAACCATCCACAGCCATTTATTTCAACTGAATATTATTTATTTCAAGCTTCACTGATTTTTTTTTTTTTTTTTAAATATATGGTTAGTTTTAAGGCCTTTTTTTAAAAATGTATTATCTGATTTTTATTTTTTGTGGTGCAAATAAATAGTCTTGCAACGCTGTGTGGCTTCTTGTGAGTTTTACAGGACCATCCAAAAGCATTCTGCCACCTGGTGGATCACATTTGTCATAACATTCAAGATTTCAGATTTTGAATATAGAAAAAAGTTTGTTCTACAAAGTAAATAACATCCCATAAGTATTCATTTTATGAATGAACATATGAGTATTATTTTTGCTCTGAAATCTTAAAACTTATCATAAACTGCTAAACTTTATTTATTTATTTATTTTTTTAAACCAAAACAAAGTACAGCATTATAACATTTCAAGCACGGTATTAACATCCACCAAGTTGTCCTAAAAGTGTGGAGAAAAAAAAAAAAAAAAAAAAAAAAGCACTTGTGGTTTTACAACATGCTCAGATCTGAAAGTTAGACTTGTTTGATCATGAAAAAGGAGTCAGCCTCTGAATGACTTACCACCATCATGCTAAAAAGCCTAAAAGGTGAAAGAAATTGACTGAGAAAAAAATGCATTCAATCATGTTTGTTTTACATTAAGTGTTGCAGGTTCGTACGCAGCCTGTGATACAGTCGATCACCAGGTCCTCAGGCAGGACGCAGGTGAGATCAGCCCAGGTAAGGGAGAGGGTTGGAGAGAGAGGAGAAGTGGGATGTTTGGCTGGGTGGGATGGGAGATGGGTTACAGGAATAGGGATTTCTTGGAAGAGGTTTCCAAGGAATCCTTGGAAAGGATTCAGGGGTAAGTTAGGGGCCAGATATGGGGATGGGGAGGGCTGATTTCGAGGCTTTGTGTTCATTTCGTCTTGGGTTTGGCCTCCAGGGGTTGGCCAATATCTTTCCCACGCAGCTTTCGCCCTGACAGGAAAAATAAAATAAAATAAATTACAAATAAGAAATGAAAAAGACAGAAAACCTAATACTGAACAGAAGATATTTTTTCATACTCATTGGACACACTGAAACTAACAATTTAGAGCCTAGACTTCCATTAACAGTACGAGATGTTTCTGGATTAGGTAAGTTTCTTATCAGATATGACAGGCAAACAACCCATTTACGCATTCAGTTCTGGTCCCAATACCAATGTGACGTGTCTATTGATTTCAACTAATGCTTCAATATTAAAATGAAAAAAAAAAAAAAAAAAAAGGTTCAGGCAGCAATTTTGTTCACCTTTTCAAGTAACCCATTATTAAAACTCCACGTGTATTTTTTTTTTTTTCCCTACATCTTGTGTACCATTTGCAGTGTTCTCGTGTTTAGGTGCATCAAGAACCGTTCTTACCAATGACTCGCTCAATTTTTCCCATGACCTGGTTGCTGGGTATCGCCTTCCCGCTTTCGTAGTCGGCAATCACTTGAGGCTTCTCGTTAATTTTCTGAAGGCAAAAAAACCGGTTAGAAGCTTAAACATGTCAAAATTAAAACAATGTGTCAAACTCACAAGTGAATTTATCAGTGAACGTCAGTAAAACACCACAAGTCGCCACAGAAGGTCGGTACGCAAAGCGTGCATTACTCACTGTGGCGAGGTCTTTCTGGGTCATTCCCTTCTCCTGTCTGCCTTGCTGAATGACCTTGCCCACCTCCAAAGGAACCCTCTCGTGGTGTAGCTCCTCTGTCTCCCTGTCCAGTTTGGCAGTATTTTTGGTCACGAGGTGCTGCTTGTTCTGTCCTGCAGACCCTGTGTGACAAGGAGCGGTTAGAGGCACTTAGCAGACGTGCAAATGCAGCTTTTGAGTTCATCTAGAGCCAATGTTGATCAGCGAAAAAATAATGAGTTCACAAACATTATTAGAGCTCCTAAAATTTGTCTTTTTGTAACGAGTAGGAGATGCTTACATTTTTTAGTCGTCTCAATATCCTCCCCGCGTCTCTGAGCAGCAGTGATTGCCTGGAGGGGAAAACAAAAACAAAGGAGGAAGGTTGAAATTAATTGCTGTTTTATTGGTGGTAAAATTGCCTTATGACTACGTTTATGGTAAGCTTTATCTGCTTTTGTTTGTCACTTCCAAGGATGAAGCTATTAAATAACAAATCTGCTTATTGCAACAAAATGGCACCAAACATTGCTTCAAAACAATCTGACATTTACACCCAGTCAGCATGATCTCTCAGCTCACTCAAAAAAAAAAAAGTTTCCACATTAGAGGGATCAGTGTCGCCTGTCATTTTGGCAGAGATGTACAAGTGTTTACAGTTTAAATAGCATTTAAATGATAAGTGCAGTGTATTGAAATGTATTTAGCTCCACGTCAAACTTTTGTGGCAGACTAAGCTCCGCCTGATCACGTGGACAATTCCCTTTCAAACCTAGCAACAGATTTTCAACTGAATTGAAACCAGATGTTTGATTGCTTCAGATAAATATACTCATTTAATCTGGTTGCTGTCTCCAGAACTACGACGTATGTGTCAATAATAACGTTTTGTGAACAGTTTTAATGTGTCCAACACTTAAAAACGAAACGGCACTGCTTGTACCTTCATTTCCAAACTCCAGATATGTCAAAGATTAGTCTGTGTTGGTCAAGCCTGTAAGATGCTGAGCAAAAAAGAAACATTTCTATCAGCAACATTAATATCTCTGTACGCCCCTGTGGATCAACATAAAACGGTCACATCTGTTGTCTTTACACCACATCACGCGATGCAGAAATCCGACACATAAACAAGAATAAATCCAGTTTCCACGACAACAAACGCAGACAACTAGAGTGCGCCATTTTAATCTCTGTCAAGAAAACGATTCATGGGGAAAAAACACAAACCAAACAAACGGTTTTACGTGTACTTATACTGACCTGTTTGGACTTGGCCTGGGCAGCAGTAGGGCCCTTCTTCCTCAACACAGTCACCGTATCCCAGTCGCTTTCGGCCATGTTTTCAAGGGTTCAGTCGGTTTTTGTGATATCTGTGAATCGTTAAAAAAGTTCAAATGCACTCAATCTGTCTGGAAGTTAACCTTTTAAATAAGACAATGTACTAGTAGTACTTCAGCGAGTCAGCTCCTTCCAGAAATATCACCCCACGCGTTCTGCCAAACCTTTATTTATAACCGACAGTTAACAGCGACGTAATGATTGGGTCAACAACAGCGCCCTCTTCTGCTTGAGCGCAGTAATGCTTGAGTATGGCAGGTCATTAGAACATATAATCAAGCACCAGTCCCATATGTTTATTTAAGACATGGATGACATTTCTCCGACAAAATGGCTTTTGTAACGAACGGAAATTTACTTTTTATTAGTAGGATTATAGATATCTATGTTTACTTCTTTTTAAACCCACAGTGTTTTTTGTTTGTTGTATTGTTGTTGAGTTTATGTTTATTATTTATTGCTACAGACTATGCTTTTACCCTCAGATCTGGGGTTTTAAAATATTGCTGCTCTCTTAATTATAACTTCCAATATAGGATCTCATTATAATTTGAAATTTTTCAAATGAAATTGTCTATTTCTCTATTCCTCAAATTATGTAAGCTACAGTAGCTGTTTACTTTCCATAATAAGTATGGAACATTGGACTTTTTCCATAGTCAAATGTAATAGGCTGCTAATAAGCTTTCGTTGTTGGTCTGATATCCCTGTTAGACCTTTCAGGTACAATTATGCTCCAGTCAGCCTTTTTACCATTGGCCCATTGATTATATGGGAAAGTTGATTGCCTTCACCATGATAGTTTCTTTTTTAAAAGTGAACATTGCATCAGAAAGTGAAAAAAAACCCTCTACTTATCTAATTGCTACAAAATTATTCATAAAAGTATGTATATTTATTAGCTGCTTTCCGAATAAATCCAACAGAACACAATTTGAAAAACTAACTTGTTTTATTTTGTAGGATTAAACAGTAAGTATACAGCAACACTTTCAGAAATCTAATACACTTAAAGTGGGACATTGTTAACGTACAGCTGAAGACAGTAGCAATGGAAGTGCTTGTTGTAACCATATGCAGGAGCTCTTTTGGAAATTCAGGAATGCTACTTCCAGGCATACTGCCCTGCCTGCTTCAGCACACCTGATTTCTACTGATGATTGATTAATAGGCTTTTCCTGTACTGTAATCATCTGAATCAGGCGTGTCAAAGCAGGGCAACAACTAAAGAAATGCAGTGTACCTCAAAGACCAGGGTTGGGAAACACCGTGCTGACCGATGAAGGCTGGGCTTTTTACTTAAAGTTAAAAAAAAAAAAAAAGGGGGGGGGAAACTTTTCTGAAAAAGCAGAGACACAATGGAAAATGTTATCTAAATTATAATTCTACTTTTGGATAACATTGGTCCTTTGGTATGTAAAAGATTCAAGGTTCTCCTTCACCAATTACAGGACATTTCTGAGGCAGCATCGCTGTTACGCCGCATACGAACTGGGGAGCAGCCGAACTCAGACAGAGCATCGTCCGCCTGCTGACGTCCCAGACGGAAACTTTGTCTTGAACCCCGTCTGGACGTCCACGCCCGAGGTTTTGGATTCATCTGGGAACATTGAGAGAAATTCATAAATAAAATTAAAAAAAGAAAAAGCACAATGCACCTGACTGTAGATAGACCAACAAGCAAGAAGGCATTCACAGTATTCAAGCTCCCAAAAAGAATGTAACAATCTGCTTCCTACCTGAACGAAAACAGCTGTGTTCATGTGAAGAGTCTCAACTCGATCGGATAAGTGATTTAACCATTCCAGATGGTCACTGATAGACTGGTTCAGATCGCTGTTGCTCTGTTTTAGGAAAGGGGGGGAAAAAGCGTCACATGGAATATAAACATGAATTTAGCTAGATTTATTTATTAAAAATGAGGATTCAAAGAAACGCACCCCAGACAAGTTGTCTTTCACTTCAACTGCAGCAAGACGAATGTGCTCAAGTTTGTCAATTTGTTCTTTCAGCCGATCATCAAGCTCCTGCATCATCATCAGGCCCTCGTCTGCTCTGACAGAACCCTTAGCGGCCATCCTGGGTCTAGAACAAATGACTGGTTATTTATAAAGATCACAACCTGTTATTTATTTATTTATTTATTTTTAAATAACATTTTGCTGCCAAGTTGTTATATACCTAAATGGTGCATATTTTGATCAGAAATACATTGGTAAACATCTGACCATATATTTCACTCAACTCATTAACAAGTTAGAGATGCAGCATAGCGACTCCAGAAAGTAGCCAGTTTCTTTAGAAAAAGACCGTTGCCAAGAACATTTACTTAGGCAACATTTTCATGCTATTCAGAAGGACATTTTGCTATGCATTATACTAACAATTAATTGTGTAGGAGTGGATGACAATGACCTGCGACAGACTGGCTACCTGTCCAGGGTGTACCCCGCCTCTATCTCGCTTGGAGATAGGCACCAGCAACCCTCCTGACCCCACTGTGGACAAGGATGTACAGAAAATGGATGGATGGATGGATGGATGACAATGACCTTGAATTTGATACTGGTGGTTACTAATGTGTCCCATCTGGATGTTAAAATGATATTAAACTTAATTTAACCACGCTTCAGCTCCAAGTTCAAAATTAGAATATCACATTAGACCAATCAGGAACAGATGTTTAAAGCACAAATAAAGTTATGGGGTGAGAAATAATCTGCTAGAGGACTGTTTGATGTAAGATGGTCACCAAAACATAAGATAGTGAAAGCAAACTGGTCAGTGTTCCAAAATCAATAAAGAAGTATGTATTCCCAGCCCATGAGCTGCCGAGCAGTACTTACTTTGAAGCTGTTATGGAGATGGAATCGGTAGTTCATTGAGATGACAACATCTCAAGTGAGACCTCTAATTTTGAGTTTTGGCCGCAGCTAAAAACGGCCATTTTTAAACCCATCGCTTTATTTGCACGAGCAGCAAAACATCAATACACGCGGCAGAATGTCGACAACCGCGAGGAAAATTAGTATTAAATAAAAACCAAATTACCTTTTTGTTCCTGAGGTAAACACACTCAGAATGCTTGGAGGTAGATCACTACAATACAGGGGCTGCAGAAGAATCCCCCTTTTCCGCATTCCCGAAGGAAAAACTTTCGTCCTCCCGCCTACATGCCTCATGAACTCTAAAGAATGTTTTTTATGGGAAGTGGAGTATGTGAAAAATAGCACGAGCATGGACTACATTATACTAAGTATGCAATTATGAAATATATTCGGATATATTAGAATAAAAGCTAGATTCATCTTTTTCTTGTAAAGAATACGTTTCTCCTCCTTACAATTTTCTGTTCAACCGCGTGGTGGCAGTGTTGCCCCTATGACATGGTTTGGCAACTGGTATAAATAAATACAGAGTAAGATTCGGGGAAATAAGTCCCTAACACGCTCTCTCTCTCTAATAACCTGCAACGAGAAATAGCACTTCATATTATGCTATTATTTTTACAGCTGCTGAGAAACTGTTTTTTTATGAGCCTGCCAAATTCTCAGTAGTACATATGTTTTGTTTTTCGAAAATAATTTCATTAAGTTATACAGATGACGTAATAAAAACTTGAAATTATAGCAAAAATTGAAAATATGTTTACACCTTTATTCATTTTATCAGAAAATGTAGCAATATTTTAATAGCTTTCTTGCTAGATTCAGGAATAAGAAGTTAAGCGGAAAAGAAATTTAGCAATTATTTGCATTTTGTAACAGACTCCACACAGGACTACAACCAGATCCTGCTGCCATGCCTCACGGTAGACATATTTCAAGACTGGAGAAGAACCGATCGGGTTTTTGTTGACCGATGCCGATTGTAGGAAAAACAACCACCATCAAAAACAACACTTCTTGAATTTCAAAACTATTTTAGTATTTTCTGAGGCAGTAAGGAACTTGTGAAGGGAATATTCAAAGCAAGTGACAGTGAATTTACAAAAATTGAATATCAATTCTTGTTTCCCACAGGTTATAAATGAAAAAAAACTTATAAAGGTAAAAATATATAACCATATGGTAATCTTTTTGATCATGGGTGCAGGACATTTTCCAAAATTGATTTTCATTCTTGAGAGTTCATATAATCAGCAATGCACTTAAGAAACCACAACTGCTTTATTTTTCTTTCAATAAGCTGATTTTTTCAAATCAAGGGAAGGTACTGACCAAATATCTGAAAAGATTGCAATAAAATGTTGAATGAGATGCAGTGGTCCTCTGACAAAGAAAGAAAGAAAAAAAAAAAGAACAATGTATCACTAAAGTACAAAAAAAAAATGTCAGGGCAGCATCTTTAAGATACAATAATGAAAAAGGTGAATTTTTGGAGATATCTATGAAAACACTCCAAGTCCAACAGATCCAAAGGAAAGCAGTTCATGTTAAGAACAGTGACTTGCTGAACATCAAATCCTTTATCGTGCCACAATGTTTAAAATAAAACGTTGAGTTTTGGCCTGTACCCCAATTAATAAAGCATGACTGTACAGTTAAGTATGCATTTACATAAAAACCAGTGAAACATTGTAGTAAAGATAAACATTTTGTAGTGTCATGGAGCATGATAGTAACATCTAGCCAGTGATGACATTGGTACAGAGTCCCAAAGTGCTGATTCTCACCTAAAAAAAAAAGATACTTTTGAAATCCACTGGAACAACTGAGCTCACACATAAAACATTAAAAGAAGCAAAACACAAATACTTTACTTTCCTGCAGCAATCAATGCTTGATGCCCTTTGTAGCAAGTTTAAAAATAAAGAAAAGTAGTCTAAATGGGCCCCTGATTGTGATTAGTTAGGTGAGGTTTATGTTTTTTTTAGTTTTTTTTTTTTTTTAGTTTTTATTGCTAGAGCCACTTCAGAGACCAGATGCTAATTAATCGAACTGCTTCTTCACAATTCCCTACTGGGCTGTTCGACAGACTCTCAATTCTAGTTTAAGAAATATTTGCCAGAAGCCCAAAAAAAAAAAAAAAAAAAAAAAAAACCCAAGAAAAATTCCAGAAATCCCCAACCAGAGGGATGTAGAGAAAAGACTCATTTCACGTAGACAAGCGAGTTCATTAAAACCAAAGCAAAGCAACAGGGGACGTTATT